AAGCTAGTCCCAATGAATATCCCTGCCAAGGATATAGAGGGTCCATGTGGCATCTTCTTCACATTGTCATGTTGGCTGGATACCATGGTGAATGATGACTTGTGTTGAATCGTGATAATTCATGGCAAGTTTTTAAATGGCTTTTGTATGAGACTTGTAAAAAACTCTGGCATTATATATAATATAATAAACAAAATGATAAATGAAAAGCAAGGATGGAAGCTTTAACTGTTGCCATGGAAAAGAAGGCCCACATTGGTATTCCCTGTATTGTGACCTTGCTGTCATAAATAAATCATTTTATCCTCTCAGAGAAGGACATCTTTACTGGACATATGGCATGGGCTACAGACTGGGCTTGTCCCATTAATGACTGGAGATGTATGCTGATTAGTATTGGCAGATGCCGGGCAGTAAGCAATCATAAAGGGTTCCAGTTATTACAATGTACTTCTGTGGAAAAGTGCTGCATGTGTGGAGGCTGCTTTGTGGGGATTGAGTTACGGGCTGTGATGAATACTCAGGGGGATTTAGGTTGAGCGCGATTGCATGCGAGTCTGTATGTGTGGTTGAGGACTGCAGTGGATTTGCAGTATATGTCTGTAAAACATGGGTAATGACTTATTTTAAAGGTTGGGAAACAGGTTAGCACGTTGCTATTTGAATGGTTCCATTCAAATCAACAAATGTGCACGTTAAGGGTGCACAATGGTCATACTAAAATAAAGAAATGGACCAAAGGAATAAATTGTATTGCTTTGGTCCTTGTTCAACCTCATTGCCTTGTAATACATGTGGGATTTATAATGGATTATCATCTCTCCCTCAGCTTTGTATACTTATTAATATCATACCCACACATCACTTGAACCAATATATTTCATAAAATTAAGTAAGCTTTTCCCTGTGTAACATATTAGTACTCCTGGCTCGTAGTGTGTAGAGATGGTCCTGCAGGTGTGTGTGTGTGTGTGTGTGTGTGTGTGTGTGTGCGTGCTCATAACAGACATGACAGCGTGTTATTCATTAGCCTACAGCTCTCCTTCAGTAAATGTCACTGCAGAGAATCAATTGACTAGCGCAGCAATTACCACTCAGTATTTGAAATGTAAATCTGGGATAATATGGAGGATTATACATGGTCCAGATTGACAATGTGGCTGTGCGAGTGTAAACAGTGAGCTTTTCTGGCATTTAAATCTTAGTTTCTTAGAGAGATTTTTTTTTTTTTTTTATATATACTTTGATTTTGGGCTGTAGTCATGTGTAGAAAAGTGCTGCTTTGTTCCCATCTTTAGACCCTGCTTGAAATCCATATACTTAACGTTGTGAGTGACCGTCTTTGAATGGCATAAGACAAAACATTGACGGAGGACACTACGTAACAGATAGTTTAGTAGCTAGCTACTGACATTCTTATTTCTCATTCAAGCGGTCTCTCTTTCACTCTGACACTGACCTGGTCCTTTATATTGGGACACATGACATCCTTACCTCTCCTCCAGGAGTGCTCAATCAGAGACACCAATAGACGTGCTAAGTAGACCAGACCACTGCAGAACCAAAGCAAGGTTCTGGCTAGAGTTCAATCATATTCAAATGGATGACACTGTAGTATACACTTGACTTGGACACACGTACAATATAAACAGGAGTACACCCATTGAAAATTAAACTGATACTGTTCACGTACAGCAAAAACAACTACATAAAGCATTTAGAAAATATCATGTAAACAGATGGACTGACATATGCATATAAAGACTTCATGAATGATACATTATCAAGCCTACGTAAAGTGATACCATGGTATTTTTATTGCAAGGATTAAACGTTTATTTATTGTGCAGGTTTCTAAACATTGCTTCTGAACTGGGCGCATCAGTTCAACTAAAATCATAGAACAGATCATACAGGGAGAGAGACTGGGGCTTATTTAGCCTCTAGTCTTTTAGGGTTCATGGTACTGGAATCACTTCTTTGCCAAATAGAACGTAGCCTACAATTAACTAAGAGATTAGTACTCAAAAGATACAGATTAACCACATTGGGCAAACTGAGAACAAGAACAAATAACAACAGAATCCCAGAAATAAACTATAAACAAAACATAAAAACAGAGTTCACACAACTACAGCAGTTTCTTTCATTAGCACAGGAAATCATTGACAACTGAGAGTTGAATTTGTAAATCCTAAAATGGTCATAGAAGAGATAGAAAGAGAAAAGGTAGAAGAAGTAAAAACTCTATGCAGAGGTAGAGTTTAGTGCACACGACTATCACACAGGTCACTAGCCTAGGTTATACCACAGGCTCGGGCCCATAGAGCATGACGAGTCCACTTTCATTTCTAGGAACCAACATCAGACTGTATGCACACACACATACAATAAATAGGATATACAATCTTAAAAATACCTCTACTGTCTCATCACGACAACACCTGTTTCTTTATTCCCCGAAGACATTTGCACTTCAGTTGCTCACAGTCACAGCTCCATAGAACGCAACAGTTCCATTTCAGGGTCCCTACATCATTCCAACTGTTCTGTTTCCAAGGCCATACCATTCCAACAGTTCCATTTCAGAGTCCTTATACCATTCCGATCACATGCAAAGGGGATCTATTATATCACAGCAACACATATTCAAAGGCTAATTATTTGATACTTTGGTACAAATCCATCCCTTTTTACATATGAAAGTGAAACATCTGGCAGATAGTTGGTCCTGATGAATGGTTGGAAAGAATGCTGATTGGTATTCACGGAATGCTATCAAATAAGACTATGAAAACAACAACTGTAGAGACCTTTGATAAGGAATTGCTTTTATATTTTCAATAGTTAAGAATGCTTAAGAGTGGGGAAACACCATAAACTCAACAACTTTAAAATAAAATCTAGAACAAGAGGAATGTTGCACTTACATACCTGGTTTTGCAACAGGGATATCATAAAACCATGTAACATTGAAAACATAATTAATATGTCACAGAAAATGTATGTATGATAAGATGAGTCTAACTGAACTGTCTCAATTCAATGTTTGAGTGTCAACACACATGAACCCATCATTCATTGTAGTTTATCCGAGCTATGCAAACTTGATATGAAAGAAAAGATCCTGACAAAGATTCAAATTCCTTCCAATGGTTTTACTATCTAGACTCTAGATGAATTAATACCAGCTTCCATATATTCCATAGTTCTAAACTCTCTTCATATCTGGTATAATAAGACATTGCAATTTTTTCCTAATGTAAATACTGATCAGATATTTATAAATATTTCACCACAATTCTCCTTGTTTGAAAGTTAGTGTGCTCTTTGTCTGCACACTGATATCTTATATACACTGTACAAAATCAATTAATTTGCTAAAGAACTATATTTTATTTATTTTTAATGCTTTTGTGAACAGTGTTTGTTAATCAATAAACATTCTTTTTTTCTTATACACTGTAGTACGTTTTTAGAAATACATTTCCAATATACTGAAGAATCATCATGCAAATTGGTTTGCTGAAATTACGTTTGTGCTGTTTCTTTACAAGTTGGAAGATCTGTAATTTAAAAAAATAAACATTCAAGAAAAGAATGTAACCCCCGTTGCACTTTAAAAAGTAAAAAGGAAGGTCTTCATGTTACACTAGCATGTTACAGGCACCACAAATCAGAACAATGGCAGTGAATCCACTATATGGATGTTCAAACTTACCATTTTGTCTTACTTACACTATAGTTTCTATTCGAGTGCTTGTCATTCAAACTCATCCCTGTACGTCATTCAAGACCTGGCATGAAACAAAGTGGTACATGAATATTGCTTGGAGTGAGCGGACGCATCTCAACAAGGGAATGTTCACTGGAATGTTTCACTGTGGCAGTATCCCAAATGGCACCCTATGGCCCTGGTCAAAAGTAGTGCACTATATAGGGAAAAGGGTGCCATTTGGGACGTAGTCTATCATTTTGGCCATGAGGAAGAGAGAGAAGGAACTAATGTGTGAAATAGTTTTAGATAATCATCACTCAGTGGCAAATTGGTATAGCTAGAGATAGAATGCAATTATTTTTGTCTGTAAAGATAATTTTGTTCACCTTCAACTGAACTTAATTTCTCAGTCTTCTCGCCCTAATGAAGTTATTCTTCAAATGTCTGTCTTCCTCTTTCTCTACTGTATATCTCTCACTTCACTTTCCCTCTCTTGGTGTCTTTATGTAAATTTAAGTAAAAAACAGTTGCCATTTTAAACTCAAACACAGGTGCAGTTTGTTGAACGTTACGGAGAAAGAAACCCTTGAGGGTTTGTAACTTGGCAGTTTGATTTCATTGCAACCAAACACAGTAAGAACAATACTTGATGAGCACTTTTTACTTCCTCCAAGGGAAGCAGAGACATTTCTATATTTCAGGAATGCATACAAATTAGGTTTGCCTGTTACCTGGGAAAAAAACATTGTGCTTTAGAGAGGAATTTGCTGAAATCCTTAAAAATCATAGGAATGTACAAAGTATACCCAACCGATTTCTCCTCTATACAAGACAGTCAACCTTTAAAATGGCTATTGGAATTGTGTTATTTGAGTCATGGGTTATTATTCTAGGATTTTTCAAATCGTTCCACTGTCTTTTGATCTTTCCAATGTTCTTTTAATCTTTTCCCATCTGGCTACTGCTCTTCTGCCAGTGGAAACGTATTGGTCACCAAGTCACCTGTAGGACTCAAGTTCAACTTCAGACAACCAAAGGGACATCTTGTATGTACAGTAGAAAGGTGGACCATCAGAGCAACAATAACACTTATTATCCACAAAAGTGCCAGCAGGTCCTTTCTGTGTGAAACAACCACACAGACGCAACCGGACAACTATCTGAATTCTGAGTCTAAGTTCTCCTGCCCTAACCCTTGACCTCCCAGGCCATGCAGCCATGTCATGTCTCCGTCATGGTGGATGCTCTGTCCTCCTCCTGGTGGTGTAGGCTGCTGTTACGATATGATGGCCGGATTCCACCTCACCACCGTCAGATTGTCTGCACTCACAGACCTCTTCTTGGCCGCTTTCCTCAAGTCTTTATACTTGTCATCACACAACCTGGAGATGGCCTGAGACATGGAAAAACGCACAATAAGACATAGAATAATATAAAACATAATTTAAGTAACTTTATGTTCATGTACTCAGAGCTACATAAACTTACACTGGAAGCCTAATAACAAAAATGTAGGGATACTCATAGTTTTGCTCTGAAACAGAGCAAGATCACTTATCATTATCTTTAGTGGTATTTCTTTAACAAGTTAGATCAATAGTGAATACGATCCTAAACGCTGCCTGTTTCCCTGTCCAGTGTACCAGCAGTACTATTACAGTTCCACTGACAGAGAACAGAGAACGTCACGACACAACACGACGCCTCAACCAGCATCAATACCACAAGGGCTCATTTCAGACCGTAATTGCCCAGCGGAGAGGCAGGAGGATGGGGGAAGAGGGGATGGGGAGGAAGGAGGGATGAGGACGAAGAGGAGATGGGAGAGAAGGGGTCGCTGGTGCTGCTAGGGAGATAATTACACTGCAACGAATGCCGCCTCACGTCCTCCATCACACACACAAACCCACGCAGAGAACACACCACCACCTCTGTCAAATGCACACTGTGCTCACTGCCCACTAATTATCAGGCTCTCTCTTGCCATTGTGTTTGTGCATCCTCCAGCCACGTTTTGCAGAGTTAATATCCTGATGAAAGGGGAAGGAGAAAAGCTCACTCTGGGATGCAATGCAACACAAATGAATGATAAGAAAGAACTCATGCATGCTGTTTTCATATAGGCTACAATGAGTTGGTGATGACAGTAGTAGCAGTGGTAGTAGTGTCTATAAACAAGTAGCATTGTGTAGGTCCTTTGAATGCTGGATGTCAAAGAAAAAAAGATCCTCACAGCTGATGGGAATGTGGAGAAGCAGCGACTGTATGCATCAGTGCTACTCACCTCTAGTTTCTGAGCCTTGTCCCTGCTCAGTGGCTCCAGAGGGAAGCTGAGGTTGTTGGCCTTGGCCATGGAGCGCAGGTCAAAGTAGTACTTAGCGTAAACACTAGACGGAACATTGATGTTGAACTGCAGCAGCTCCAGAAACTGACGCTCCAACTCATTCCTTCATATGGAGAGAGAAACAGAGAGAGACAGAGAAAGAAAGAGAACAAAAGAGAGAAATAAAAGAGAGAAATAAAAGAGAAAGAAGATAAATTATCTTGAACTGATCTTTATGAAGAACTAAACAACTGAAAAAGAGACGTCACTAACTTCCTTATGTGCTAAGCTTTTAGAATTTTACAAAATTACATATACAAGACTCGATGGTATCAAGTCAATTAACTGTGGCTGCAGCTTAGCTTTGATCTGTTTCAGTTGACTGTTTCCCCTGACAGACTGTTTCTCTGACATTCTTTAGACAGCCTAATTGGTTGGTCTGTGTCTCTGTAGCAAAGCCCCTGTCTTTGATTCACAAGGTTAAAGAACTCTGTTACACCAAGCATCAGGCTTTTCTCTCCACATACATAGATATTCTAATTCACGCAGCAACAGACAAGCTAAATTTAGCCAGCCATGGAGCGGTGGAGGCTCTGCCTAATAAAACTCCTCTCCTCCTCCTCAGAGAGAGAGAGAGACAGAGAGAAATAATCTCATGTATTGGTTTTGGGTTCAGGGCTATGTTCTGTGAGCCCACTGAGAGGGGGTCATGACAACAAGCAGTCTTAAAAACTAACTGTGTACTCAGGATGGGTCAGGAGGGTTACTGGTGGCGACACATTCAAGGTGTCAGATAACGTCTCTAAATAATCCACATAGATTCTTCTTGTCTCTTTGTGATTCATTTTGGGGAAGGAGGTCGATGCCCCAGTGGCCTGTGGCCTTGGTTAACTATTGTCTACCAGGCTATGAGACTTCAGACTGTACACCCATGCCCCAGATACCTCCTGTCTGAAAACACCCCAGCCCCAGCCCTAACCTCAGCTCAAGACCTCTGCCACGGCCCCAGCCCCTGCCTCTGCCCCATCCCCAGACTCTTCCCCAGCTGCAGCTCTAATCTCAGCTCAAGACCCAGCTCAAGATAAAAGCTCCAGCCTCTACCCTAGCTCCAGCCTCAGCTCCAGCCCCACTCTCTGCCCTAGCCCCAGCCCCAGCCTCAGCTCCAGCACCATCCCCTGTGGCAGCCCTATTCCCAAGCCCCAGCCCTGGGCACCAGACTGGAGGAAGCAGACCTGAGTCATGCCTGACTCCAACACCTACTAAACCACCACTGACCCCATACCAAGGTTATTCTGAGTTCACAATGTGAAATGTCCCTGACTGTTCCCTGCACTGAGTGGGGTTGGCAGTAGAGCATGAGATTAGGGATGGGCATTTGATATTTCTTTACTGTTCGAGTACTCGCATGATGATTTTCGAGTACTCAAATACAATAAATCTGAAAGTATTCATACCCCTTGACTTATTCCACATGTTGTTGTTGTTGTGTATATATATATATATATATATTGTGTATATATATATATATATACACACACACACACACACACACACACATACACACAGTCAATAAAAAAGCAAGTACCATTTAAGATTAATTTATTGAAACCGTAATATCAACTGGTTATATTATATTGTGGAACACAATTTTCAAAAAGGCAGCAACACCAGCAGTGGCGCTTGCTTGTAGAAGCTTATAGAATCCTATGGCTGTGCAATGGCATAGTCTTGTTTTGTTAATTTAATTTGTTAAAATATGCTCTTATTCCCGAGCCCTTATCACAGTCAAAACACACGTACTTTATAGTAAAAAAAACATTATGTAATATAACAGAATAAATATAACAGAATATTTTTCCAAATGAAAAAGGTTGCCAGTGCGAAGTGATGCGTATCTCGTATTCTTTATATTTTTTGAAACGGGGCTCCATTTGGTGAGTTGAAAGACAAAAATAAATGTTATTTTCAATATACAGACGTTCGATCTATACTGAACAAAAATATAAACGCAACATGTAAAGTGTTGGTCCCATGTTTCATGAGCTGAAATAAAAGATACCAGAAATGTTCCATATGCACAAAAAGCTTATTTCTCTCAAATGTTGAGCTCAAATGTGTTTACATCCCTGTTAGTGAGCATTTCTCCTTTGCCAGGATAATCCATCCACCTGAAAGGTGTGGCTTATCAAGAAGATGATTAAACAGCATGATCATTACACAGGTGCACCTTGTGCTGGGGACAATAAAAGGCTACTCTAAAATGTGCAGCTTTGTCAAACACCACAATGCCATAGATGTCTCAAGTTTTGAGGGAGAGTGCAATTGGCATGCTGACTGCAGGAATGTCCACCAGAGCTGTTGTCAGATTATCGAATGTTTTTTTGTTTTTGGGGGGGTAGATCAGCTTTAATATTGAAGATAGATTGTGGCTTCCATCAACGTAATTGTCTGCATCATTTCCAATCCCCCTTATATATTAAAATATATATATATCTATACATACATATATACATACATACACACACACATTATATATTTTCCCCTAACCCTACCACCCCTCCCCTAATTGGAGTTAACTAATGGACAACAACTCTTAGGCTTCTACTTCCTGCTTATACATACTATATACATTTTATGGGCACAGTATATTTTACAATAGTTATCTTTTGTTTATTTTTAGTCCCACCCTTCAGCTACACTCAACCCCTCCCAACTACAGTGCATTCGGAAAGTATTCAGACATCTTCCTTTTCCACATTTTGTTTCGTTACAACCTTACTCTAAAATTGATTAAATCAAATGTTTTTCTCATCAATCTACACACAATACCCAATAATGACAAAGCGAAAACAGGTTTAGAATTTATTTGCAAATTTATAAAAAATAAAAAAAACGTATTTACATAAGTATTCAGACCCTTTGCGATGAGAGTCGAAATTGAGCTCAGGTGCATCCTGTTTCCATTGATCATCCTTGAGATGTTTCTACAACTTGGAGTCTACACGTGGTACATTTTATTGATTGGACATGATTTGGAAAGACACCCACCTGTCTATACAAGGTCCCACAGTTGACAGCGCATGTCAGAGCAAAAACCAAGCCATGAGGTCGAAGGAATTGTCCGTAGAGCTCCGAGACAGGATTGTGTCAAGGCACAGATCTGTGGAAGTGTACCAAACAATTTCTGCAGCATTAAAAGGTCCCCAAGAACATAGTGGCCTCCATCATTCTTAAATGGAAGAAGTTTAGAACCACCAAGACTCTTCCAAGAGCTGGCCGCCCAGCCAAACTGAGCAATCGGGGGAGAAGGGCCTTGGTCAGGGAGGTGACCAAGAACCCAATGGTCAGTCTGACAGAGCTCCAGAGTTCCTCTGTGGAGATGGGAGAACCTTCCAGAAGGACAACAATCTCTGCAGCACTCCACCAATCAGGCCTTTATGGTAGAGTGGCCAAACGGAAGCCACTCCTCACTAAAAGGCACATGACAGCCCGCTTGGAGTTTGCCAAAAGGCACCTAAAGACTCTCCGACCACGAGAAACAAGATTCTTCGGTCTGATGAAACTAAGATTGAACTCTTTGGCCTGAATGCCAAGCGTCACGTCTGGAGGAAACTTGGCACCATCCCTACGGTGAAGCATGGTGGTGACAGCATCATGCTGTGGGGATGTTTTTCAGTGGCAGGGACTGGGAGCCTAGTCAGGATCGAGGGAAAGATGAACGGAGCAAAGTACAGAGAGATCCTTGATGAAAACCTGCTCCAGAGCGCTCAGGACCTCAGACTGGGGTGATGGTTCACCTTCCAACAGGACATTGACCCTAAGCACACAGCCAAGACAACTTAGGAGTGGCTTCGGGACAAGTCTCTGAATGTCCTTGAGTGGCCCAGCGAGAGCCCGGACTTGAACCCGATGGAACATCTCTGGAGAGACCTGAAAATAGCTGTGCAGCGACGCTCCCCATCCAACCTGACAGAGCTTGAGAGGATCTACAGAGAAGAATGGGAGAAACTCCCCAAATACAGGTGTGCCAAGCTTGTAGTGTCATACCCAAGAAGACTCGAGGCTGTAATCACTGCCAAAGGTGCTTCAATAAAGTACTGAGTAAAGGGTCTAAATACTTACGTAAATGTGATATTATGGGGTATTGTGTGTAGATTGATGAGAGAAAAAACTATTGAATCCATTTTAGAATAAGGCTATAACATACAGTGGGGAAAAAAAGTATTTAGTCAGCCACCAATTGTGCAAGTTCTCCCACTTAAAAAGATGAGAGAGGCTTGTAATTTTCATCATAGGTACACGTCAACTATGACAGACAAATTGAGAAAAGAAATCCAGAAAATCACATTGTAGGATTTTTTATGAATTTATTTGCAAATTATGGTGGAAAATAAGTATTTGGTCACCTACAAACAAGCAAGATTTCTGGCTCTCACAGACCTGTAACTTCTTCTTTAGGAGGCTCCTCTGTCCTCCACTCGTTACCTGTATTAATGGCACCTGTTTGAACTTGTTATCAGTATAAAAGACACCTGTCCACAACCTCAAACAGTCACACTCCAAACTCCACTATGGCCAAGACCAAAGAGCTGTCAAAGGACACCAGAAACAAAATTGTAGACCTGCACCAGGCTGGGAAGACTGAATCTGCAATAGGTAAGCAGCTTGGTTTGAAGAAATAAACTGTGGGAGCAATTATTAGGAAATGGAAGACATACAAGACCACTGATACTCTCCGTCCATCTGGGGCTCCACGCAAGATCTCACCCAGTGTGGTCAAAATGATCACAAGAACGGTGAGCAAAAATCCCAGAACCACACGGGGGGACCTAGTGAATGACCTGCAGAGAGCTGGGACCAAAGTAACAAAGCCTACCATTAGTAACACACTACGCCGCCAGGGACTCATCCTGCAGTGCCAGACGTGTCCCCCTGCTTAAGCCAGTACATGTCCAAGCCCGTCTGAAGTTTGCTAGAGTGCATTTGGATGATCCAGAAGAGGATTGGGAGAATGTCATATGGTCAGATGAAACCAAAATAGATATTTTTGGTAAAAACTCAACTCGTCGTGTTTGGAGGACAAAGAATGCTGAGTTGCATCCAAAGAACACCATACCTACTGTGAAGCATGGGGGTGGAAACATCATGCTTTGGGGCTGTTTTTCTGCAAAGGGACCAGGACGACTGATCCATGTAAAGGAAAGAATGAATGGGGCCATGTATCGTGAGATTTTGAGTGAAAACCTCCTTCCATCAGCAAGGGCATTGAAGATGAAACGTGGCTGGGTCTTTCAGCATGACAATGGTCCCAAACACACCGCCCGGGCAACAAAGGAGTGGCTTCGTAAGAAGCATTTCAAGGTCCTGGAGTGGCCTAGCCAGTCTCCAGATCTCAACCCCATAGAAAATCTTTGGAGGGAGTTGAACGTCCGTGTTGCCCAGCGACAGCCCCCAAAACATCACTGCTCTAGAGGAGATCTGCATGGAGGAATGGGCCAAAATACCAGCAACAGTGTGTGAAAACCTTGTGAAGACTTACAGAAAACGTTTGACCTGTGTCATTGCCAACAAAGGGTATATAATAAAGTATTGAGAAACTTTTGTTATTGACCAAATACTTATTTTCCACCATAATTTGCAAATAAATTCATTAAAAATCCTACAATGTGATTTTCTGGATTTTTTTCCCTCATTTTGTCTGTCATAGTTGACGTGTACCTATTATGAAAATTACAGGCCTCTCTCATCTTTTTAAGTGGGAGAACTTGCACAATTGGTGGCTGACTAAATACATTTTTCCCCCACTGTAACAAAATATGGAAAAAGTCAAGGGGTCTGAAAACTTTCCGAATGCACTGTATCTCTAAACACCATCCAGTTTTGATTTCTATTTGCCATATATTTTCTAACTGTGCTGTGATGTTTCACAAAAGTTCTGAACCTTTTTATTTCTCATAGTTTCTACAGATTAAAGATAAACCATTTTTGCTAAGAGTATTATTATATTATTGATCGATTGACTATAACTTTTGATCGATTGACTATTGATCTATTCAATCAGTTGACTATGACAGCAGTGCTATTTGCAGAGTTAGCTCAAGGTAAATGTTGCAATTCTTCTTGAACCTGCGACTAAACACAAGCTACATATGAGAACAGTACCAAAATAAATGATCTAATGATTCTGTCCCTTCGCAGCAAAATCTGCAGGGCTGGGATGGTTGTATCCCACATATATACAGTTGAAGTCGGAAGTTTACATACACCTTAGCAAAATAAATTTTAACTCAGTTTTTCACAATTCCTGACATTTAATCCTAGTAAAAATTCCCTGTCTTAGGTCACTTAGGATCACCACTTTATTTTAAGAATGTGAAATGTCAGAATAATAGTAGAGAGAATGATTTATTTCATCACATTCCCAGTGGGTCAGAAGTTTACATACACTCAATTAGTATTTGGTAGCATTGCCTTTACATTGTTTAACTTGGGTCAAACATTTCAGGTAGCCTTCCACAAGCTTCCCACAATAAGTTGGGTGAATTTTGGCCCATTCCTCCTGACAGAGCTGGTGTAACTGAGTCAGGTTTGTAGGCCTCCTTGCTCGCACACGCTTTTTCAGTTCTGCCCACACATTTTCTATAGGATTGAGGTCAGGGCTTTGTGATGGCCACTCCAATACCTTTACTTTGTTGTCCTTAAGCCATTTTGCCACAACTTTGGAAGTATGCTTGGGGTCATTGTCCATTTGCAACCAAGCTTTAACTTCCTGACTGATGTCTTATAATAATAATAATAATAATAATATGCCATTTAGCAGACGCTTTTATCCAAAGCGACTTACAGTCATGCGTGCATACATTTTTTGTGTATGGGTGGTCCCGGGGATCGAACCCACTACCTTGGCGTTACAAGCGCCGTGCTCTACCAGCTGAGCTACAGAGGACCACATTCATAAGGGAAACTGGTAACTAACATACTTTATATAACCCCAACCTGCATAATACTAGAAGACACCCTGCCATTGATCCATCAAAACCACATCTTAACAAAACAAACAGATTTATGTTGGCGGTAAAGAGCCAAGTATGTACAGTTGAAGTCGGAAGTTTACATACACCTTAACCAAATACACTTAAACTCAGTTTTTCACAATTCCTGACATTTAATCCAAGTAAAAAATACCCTGTCTTAGGTCATTTAGGATCACCACTATATTTTAAGAATGTGAAATGTCAGAATAATAGTAGAGAGAATGATTTATTTCAGCTTTAATTTCTTTCATCACATTCCCAGTGGGTCAGAAGTTTACATACACTCAATTAGTATTTGGTAGCATTGCCTTCAAGTTGTTTAACTTGGGTCAAAATGTTTCGGGTAGCCTTCCACAATAAGTTGGGTGAATGTTGGCCCATTCCTCTTGACAGAGCTGGTTTAACTGAGTCAGGTTTGTAGGCCTCCTTGCTCGCACACGCTTTTTCAGTTCTGCCCACACATTTTCTATAGGATTGAGGTCAGGGCTTTGTGATGGCCACTCCAATATCTTGACTTTGTTGTCTTTAAGCCATTTTGCCACAACTTTGGAAGTATGCTTGGGGTCATTGTCCATTTGGAAGACGCATTTGCGACCAAGCTTTAACTTCCTGACTGATGTCTTGAGATGTTGCTTCAATATATCCACATCATTTTCCTTCCTCATGATTCCATCTATTTTGTGAAGTGCACCAGTCCCTCCTGCAGCAAGGCACCCCCACAGCATGATGCTGCCACCCCCGTGCTTCACGGTTGGGATGGTGTTCTTCGGCTTGCAAGCTACCCCCTTTTTCCTCCAACATAACAATGGTCATTATGGCCAAACAGTTCTATTTTTGTTTCATCAGACCAGTGGACATTTCTCCAAAAAGTATGATCTTTGTCCTCATGTGCAGTTGCAAACCGTAGTCTGGCTTTTTTATTGCAATTTTAGAGCAGTGGCTTTTTCCTTGCTGAGCGGCCTTTCAGGTTATGTCGATATAGGACTTGTTTACTGTGGATATAGATGCTTTCGTACCTGTTTCCTTTAGCATCTTCACAAGGTCCTTTGCTGTTGTTCTGGGATTGATTTGCACTTTTAGGAGACAGAACGCATCTCCTTCCTGAGCCGTATGACGGCTGCGTGGTCCCATGGTGTTTATACTTGCATACTATTGTTTGTACAGATGAACGTGGTACCTTCAGGCATTTGGAAATTGCTCCCAAGGATGAACCAGACATGTGGAGGTCTACAATTTTTTTTCTGAGGTCTTGGCTGATTTCTTTTGATTTTCCCATGATGTCAAGCAAAGAGGCACAGAGTTTGAAGGTAGGCCTTGAAATACATCCACAGGTACACCTCCAATTGACTCAAATGATGTCAATTAGCCTATCAGAAGGTTCTAAAGCCATGACATAATTTTCTGGAATTTTCCAAGCTGTTTAAAGGCACAGTCAACTTAGTGTATGTAAACTTCTGATCCACTGGAATTGTGATACAGTGAATTATAAGTGAAATAATCTGTCTGTAAACAATTGTTGGAAAAATTACTTGTGTCATGCACAAAGTAGATGTCCTAACCGACTTGACAAAACTATAGTTTGTTAACAAGAAATTTGTGGAGTGGTTGAAAAACGAGTTTAATGACTCCAATCTAAGTGTATGTAAACTTCCGACTTCAACTGTACATAGACAGTCTATACCCTGTCTATTTGCATAAGGACAATTTAAAGGCCATTGTAAAATGCAGACACAGTGCAGATTTAACCTGTAGCTTCTGCCAAAAACTGTTAGATGGACTAGCTGGCTGCTGGTTGAACTGGGTTAGGTTGTTTAATGGACAAGGGTCAAACTGTTTCAGACTCACATGTCCTCCACAGTGATGTCTTTCAGGATCTGGCAGTAGTCTACGTTCCACACAGCCTGGTCGTCCCACACCTTGGACGCCAGCAGGATGGCTCCCAGGACGATACGTTTCCAGTTGACTGGACAGATGTCTATCTCTGCATAAGTTAACAGGCGCTCCAGGTACACCTGGGAGAGAAAAAGATAGATGGAAGAAAGAAAGAAATAGATGTCAAAGACATTCCTCCTTTTAAAGATGGCTGACGTCAAAGACATTCCTCAACTATCCTCTGGTCTGGTGCATGAAAAACACCAATAGACTCAATGTAATACATTATTTGGAGCAAAAACAAGAAACTTGTTGAATTGTGAATAATTCAAATAACAAATCAACATTTCCCAGATGATGTATGAACAACAATATACAGTCCAGTTCTTCCTCATCTAAGATAATTACTTCAGATCCAGCTAATTACCCTCTGCTCTGTGTGTCTGAATTGATTCTGGAATGAATGTTCCATTCCAAACTCCTCTGGCATTCCGTCTCCACAAAGCCAAAGTAACAGACCATGTCAAAAACTGATGTAATGCAGTTTCTCTGGGCTTTCTCATAAAATATCAAATGTCAATCAAAAAACCTTTCCATTATCGCAGCCACAGTCTCTATTAGGTACGTCAGTGAATTACAAAATGCATTGAACCTTTAGGCACAATATAATGGGAGTAGTCTATTTTACAGCAATTATTTACTATTCTCTCCACGTATCATCATTTAGTCATTTCCTTGGGGAAATGTGTTTGGTCTGTCTTAGAACACAGTACATGCTATGTGGTAGGTGGGTGGTGAATCCAGATGCCTGTCCTGTATGTGTCTGGGTTGCTAATAGAACACAATTCAGTTATTCCATCCAGCAGTCTCCAAGGACTCAGATTCTCTATCGTCCACAGAATTCATTTCTCACCTACAGCTTCAGATTCAGCATAGCGATGGATGGCATGGCTCTCTATCTGTACTTCTAGATTCACCTAAACCTAGCTACACAGATAGTCTTCTGCACAAAACAATTTATTGTTGGAAATATGTGTGTAGAATTACAGTTGAAGTCGGAAGTTTACATACACCTTAGCCAAATACATTTAAACTCTTTATAAGTGAAATAATCTATCTGTAAACAATTGTTGGAAAAATTACTTGTGTCATGCACAAAGTAGATGTCCTAACCGACTTGCCAAAACTATAGTTTGTTAACAAGAAATTTGTGGAGTGGTTGAAAAACAAGTTTTAATTACTCCAACCTAAGTGTATGTAAACTTCCGACTTCAACTGTACATACAGCGGAGGTGGCAGGGTATGTGACCCCACATTTTTGGAGCGTTTGCCTAGTGATGCACAGTGGCATCACACAGTGAAGATGGAAATTATCCAACATGTTGTTAACCACTGGCAGTATGTAGAGTAAAACACCAGTCCACACACACAGTACAACCTCACCCCTCCAGGGCCTGTATTTATATAGCGTCTCAGAGAATGAGTGCTGATCTAGGATCAGTTTTGCATTTTGGATCATTATGAATGGACAGGCTGGGCCTGATCCTAGATCAGCACTCCTACTCTGAAACACAGGACAACCTCCCCATTTTCTCCAGCTGAACCTGGTCCTGTTCCCTATTCAATTACTGTCGGCATCCATCCCTGTTCTCCCTGGGTGTGGGGCCACTGGGACAGTCAATGGGACAGTCAATGGGACAGTCAATGGGACAGTCAATGGGACAGTCAATGGGACAGTCTGTGGGACAGGCGTGCGGTGTGTGTGTGTGGAAACCAGATTGTCCCAAGTGACAGAGACGACAGGCCAGTGAAGTCATAACCAGACAATGGAGTGTCAGAACACCACAGGAGGACCACACAGCTCAGGACCAGAGAGTTCAGCTCAATCAGACTAGGGCTTCATACCAAATGGCACCCTATTCCCTATGTAGTTCACTGCTTTCAACCAGGGCCTCTCAGCAGTAAACCAACCGCAGGTTTAAAACAGAAGGTGTTATTGAGATGGATGGAGGATGTTTCCGAGCAGAGTGGAGAGGTGTTCTGCTCTACAGTGGTTTACTCTGAGTGGACAAAACATTAAGAACACCCCCATGACAGACTGACCAAGTGAATCTAGCTGAAAGTGATGATCCCTTATTGATGTCACTTGTTAAATACACTTCAATCAGTGTAGATGAAGGGGAGGAGACAGGTTAAAGAAGGATTTTTAAGCCTTGAGACAATTGAGACATGGATTGTGTACGTGTGGCATTCAGAGGCTGAATGGGCAAGACAAAATATTTAAGTGCCTTTGAACAGGTTATGGTAGTAGGTGCCAGGTGCACCTGTTTGTGTCAAGAACTGCAATGCTGCTGGGTTTTTCACGCTCAACAGTTTCCCGTGTGTATCAAGAATGGTCCACCACCCAAAGGACATCCAGCCAACTTGACACAACTGTGGGAAGCATTGGAGTCAACATGGGTCAGCATCCCTGTGGAACGCTCTCGACACTGTGTAGAGTCCATGCCCCGACGAAATGAGGCTGTTCTGCAGGTAAAAGGGAGGGGTGGGGGGGGGGGGGGAGGGGGGTGCAACTCAATATTAGGAAGGTATTCCTAATGTTTTGTATGCATCGGAGGAAGACATCTAGTCACATCCAGGAGATGATTGTCCATGGCACTTCTCTATAAACAGACTGAGTTAGGCCTATGACTCATAGCAAGGGCCAGGAGTTTTACCGGCTACCTTTTTAAAATGTGGGTCTTTCTCTAAATAATGGGGCCAATGTCTGACATTGGGATCAACATTTCAAAATGGTTTGAAACTAAAAAAATTAAAGGATTTTTATGCAGTTCCACTGTTCTAGTTCTAGGTGTACTAAGAGGAAGATATACCAATTGGCCCATAACTCTACCTATACAACAACATACACCTAGGACTATATATCCTTTAAGCAGGTTTCATACAGACATTGGCAAGTTAAATTCAAGGACCTTTAGGACCTCAATGTTATACAATTGTATAATTTATATACTTTGTATAGAAAGCTGTCATCAAGGCAAAGGGTGGCTATGTGAAGAATCTCAATATATTTTGATTTGTTTAACACTTTTTTGGTTACTACATGATTCCATATGTGTTATTTCATAGTTTTGATGTCTTCACTACTATTCTACAATGCAGATAAACTTTTGTCCAAACTTTTGACTGGTACTATATAACAAGTTGCCCAGTGTAGGAAATCCTATCCTCACTGGTACCCTAGTTTATAGAAAGACCCATGCACTTTAACTTTACCTGAACAGGGACAAGTAGGCCCAACATGACAGTGAAGTGTTAGGATTTATCTCAAAAGGCACCCTATTCCATATATCGCCCTATGGGCCCTGGTCAAAAGTAGTGTACTATATAGGGAATATGGTGACATTTATTAATGGGAGCAACACTCCCTCCTAGTGTTGTGTGGCAGGTTGTGATGAAGATGTCACTCACCAGTGTGACGATAGCACACTCTGCAGTGAGCTGTGCCGCGCTGAACAGCGTACGGACAAAACGATAGATCTGTTTCTGCTCCGGGTCGTGCTTTTCATAGTCCGCAGGAATCTCAGATTTCTGTCATCAACAGGGGAGCAGAGAGAGACTGATAATATAGTAATGAAACATGGGAACATCAACACAGACACTAAGGCTGTGTTTACACAGGCAGTCCAATTCTGAATTGGTCAAAATACCAATTAGAGTAAAAATTATCAGAATTGGGCTGCCTGTGTAAACGCAGCCTAATACACACACATATCCATAATATATTATATATAACTACAAAAGTCTTACCGTAAGTGGATGAAGCTTTTCATCAAAAATATCTAATACCATTCTCCCATCGATCTCTCTGAAATGACAAAAAAGGCCACACAGGTCAGTTGCTGAATGACAAGTGATTTTACATTTGAGTCATTTAGCAGACGCTCTTATCCAGAGCGACTTACAGTTAGTGAGTGCATACATTATTCATACTGTGATGACAGTAACCAGTCACTAGACTCAAGTATGAAGGCTACTTCACAAATACACTGTGGCTTTGACTGTTTTGACTGAGGAGAGAGATGCTGTTTCGATCCTCTACAAAGTCAGTCAGGCTGTAGACCAATAGGGAAACATAGCCTCAGTTACCTCTCCACTCTGTTTGAATGGCACATTGATCCATCTTGCCACAGAACACTCAGAATGCGTCCCACATGGCGCCCTATTGCCTATGTAGCGCACTACTTTTGACAAGAGCCCTTGGTCAAATGTAGTGCACTATAAATGGAAAAGGGTGCCATTTCAGACGCACACTCAGAGTACCTAAAGTACTAGACATCTAAAGACTGGGATTTCGAACCCATGCCAGGGGGGCTATGGGGGTCTGTTTGTGTTATCAAAGGCTGACTTTTATGTGTGACCCTCCCTCACCCATTATTGATGCTGGATGTCCAAATAGAATGTAATAACCTTCAGTGACGGGGGGAATGTTCTTTCAACACATAGGACTAAAGTATTACATGGACTAGCTCTACAATAGTACTAGGAGGGGCTGATGCTATTTGGTGAATGTGACAGATCATTATTTTATTTCTTTTTCTTTTTAGGGGGTAGATCAGCTTTAATATTGCCGATAGATTGTGGCTTCCATCAACATAATTGTCTGCATCATTTCCAATCCCGCATATACACACACACACACACACACACACATTACATATTTTCCCCTAAACCTACCATCCCACCCCTTATTGGAGTTAACTAATGGACAACAACTCTTAGGCTTCTACTTCCTGCTTATACATACTATATACATTTTAAGGACACAGTATATTTTACAATAGTTATCTTTTGTTTGTTTTTAGTCCCATCCTGACAGCTCATTCTTACCGGTTCTTTATGTGGTAGTATATCGCCAGGGCTACACTGTAAAGACAAATCATTATAATTAAAATACACTACATACAGAATTCTTACATGCATAAAACACGACAAAGATTAACATCATATGTACATTCTGATGGATTCATCGGTTGATTGATTGACTGATTGATTGGTGATTAACCTACCACTTGATGGTGTATTTGAGGTTGGGCTGACTGACGGTGCTGTCGTCTAGGAGGATGGTGGAACAGGAGCTGTACTCCCGTCTGACTGGAGCAGTATGGTGCTGCAACACACACACACACATCACACTCTGTTACTGTTATGTCCACAGTCCGCACGCACACACAAAACGTACAGGCAAGCTAACACTCACAGCAGGTCCTGCAATAAGCCTTGAAACTAGAAACACCTGCTGTAGCCCAACTAATACCCCTGCTTTGTGGTTTTATATGAGTGACATACTGTACATACAGACGAAATGGGTTTCACTAAAAACAGTAGCTACTGTTTTCATTAATTAGTCTACTGCACATTGAGAGCGCTTATATTGGCCAATCACCACCCCTTCCACTCTATTAATCTCATCAACCTAGAATAGCATGTCATGTACAATAAGCGTGATACAGATAGACAGACATGCAGGTAACTGCCAAAGTAAAGGAACCACTTGAGCAAATGAGGGACACAAGGTACATTGAAAGCAGGTGCTTCCACACAGGTGTGGTTCCTGAGTTAATTAAGCAATTAACATCCCATCATTCTTAGGGTCATGTATTAAAATGCTGGGCAGGCTATTACAATGCCCCCATCTACAGGGCACGAGTGGTCACTGAATGGTTTTGATGAGCATGAAAGCTATATGCCATGGCGGTCTCAGTCACCAGAGCTCAACCTAATTGAACACTTATGGGAGATTCTGGAGCGCCGCCTGAGACAAAGATTTTGGAATTTCTTGTGGAAGAATGGTGTTGCATCCCTTCAATAGAGTTCCAGACACTGATGAATATATCCCAAGGTGCATTGAAGCGGTTCTGGCTCGTGGTGGACCAATGCCCTATTAAGACACTTTATGTTGGTGTTTCCTTTATTTTGGCAGTTACCTGTACATACATACACATTGCTTCTGTACTCAGATGACAGAAGAGACACAAGTGGATATAACAGCCACATCTAGACTAAATCTATATCTAGACACACAAATGCCAGGGATACATAATACTTTACCTTGTTCTCCGAAATGTGTGTTAACTTGCAAAATAATAAAGTTGATTAAAATCTTCATAAACAAAATCACAGTAACAATCATGTGCTCAAAGAAATACTGCAGTCTTACAAATGACAGCGGAATACTGCTAACCAAATATTCTGTATTCAGTAGGGTGTACATCAATTACCTGATTAAAATCAATGAGAAAGCATGGAATATTACCATGCAAACGCCAGAAAAAACAATTTCATCAGCATCATAGTTTATGCAAATACAGCATTATATTCAACATGGCGTCCATTCTGAGGTTGATACTCACATGATTGATGTAGATGCTCTTCCGTTTTTCTCGCACTGCAAATTGAGAGAGATTAAAATCAGTGACAGCACGGTAACAGTCAATGATTAGGCACACAAGATAGAGCAGAGCTCAGCCTCTGAAGTTAGTAATATTATTATTATATTTAAGTTGAAACACGCTGATGGGGTCAAAGCCGATTGCAGTACACAGCCCTTACTGACAGGGGGCAGTCATTCCCAAGGTTGTCCTGCACCATACAGAGCTGGGAGTGCAGTATGATCAAAGGCACATTAAGGAAGAGAGACTATATGGATTGTGGGAACTTAATAAAACATATTGCTCAAAGTACTGTTCAAGAAAATAATCACTACAACTCAACAATTCCTTAAAATTACACTTACGCTAATTACTGACATAGATGCATGGCTGTGGGGTAATACAAATGCTTTTCATTCCTAAAAGGCCTTATATTAAATCATGTTTAGCACTCGGAACTGTGTTCATTCAGCAGCCATGTGGCCTTAAAGAGGATTCCAGTAGAACATATGATGAAGGAAATTATAACTAAGAGCCATTTGCCTTTAGGACTCAACTGTCAGATTCTTACGAGAGCCTCCTACAGGTTTGACAAAAAGAGTAATTCATCCTTTCATGTGGTTGCCTCTAAAACAATCTCTGGGGATTACATCAAATCTAAACGCTTCATTCACGTGCATATTGTCATGTCTATAACTATAGCGCCACTTCGCTCTCTGGCTTTATTTCAATGATGTCATTGTATTCATGTGGGGAATGGAGGGCATTAATACTGTTCATACAGTAGTCTAATGATTCCGCATTGGGCCTTGCTGCGTGTGATTGGTTCACTCCAAGTATGGAAGCCGCTCTGATTGGCTGACGGAGATCCAGTGTGTGTGTGTGTGTGTGACGTAGCAACATAGAAGAAGGAGCGCTGCATGGCGAAGCAGCAGGGCAGGATGAGGTACAACGTTGACAAGTGAAGCTCTCCTGTCTGGCACCTTGCTAAACTATCAGCAAACACACCCTAAACACACACCTAAAACACACACACCTAAACACACACCCACACACACCCACCCACCCAAAACAAACACACACCACACCCAAAAACACACAAACACCGAACACACAAACACCAAACCACAACCTCAAAAACAACAACAAAAACACACACACACACCAACACAACAAAACAAACACAAAACACACAAAAACCTAAAAACACCCACCAACCAACACACCCACCAAACCTCACAAACAACACACACACCAACAACAAAACACCACAACACACACCACACACCCACACCAGACAAAACCCAACACCCACCCACAAACACACACACACACCCACACACACAACACACCCCACCCCTAAACAACACACAAACACACACAACCAAACAACAACACCTAAACACACCCTAACAACACCACCTAAAACACCCTAAACCCACACACACCACCCACCACAGCACATAACACACACACACACACACACTAAACACCACAACAAACACACAACACCAAACACACTCAAACAAACACCAACACCTAAACACAACACACACCACTAAAAACACACCACCTAACAACACACCCCACTAAAACACCACACCCACTAACACACACACCTAAACACACACACAAACACCCCAACACACACTACACACACCACACACCACACACACCACTAAACACACACACAAACACACACCACCCAAACCCCACAACACACACCACAAACACAAACACCAACCCACAGCCACTAACCCACCACACACCCACACCCCTACAAACACACACACCCACCCACCTAAACACACACACCAAAACACACACCACACCTAAACCACACACCTAAACACACACACACACCTAAAACACCCACAACACACACACACTAACACAACACACCATAAACCCACACACACACCCTAAACCACAACACACACACACACACACACACACACACACACCTCAACCTAAACATACACACACACCTAAACACACACACCCAAGACACCCACACCTAAACACACACACACACACACACACACACCTACACCTAAACACACACACACACACCTAAATACACACACACACACCCAAACACACACAGACCCAAAACACACACACACCTAAGCCCTGTGAGAAATCATGGCTGTGCACATTCTAAAATAAAGCGTGGAAGCGAGTGTTTACGTCATAAGGCCTCACACGTTTTTACATGTTAAAATATTGATCTAGCTGGGAGATATAACTTAGATGTTGCTTCTTAAAGGCACAGAGGGTTGTGTGTTTGCATGTGTGTGTCTAATCAGTACATCCCAGTTGTGCAGAAGTGGCTGTTTGTACAGATAACACACATCATGCAGGAGGTAAAGCTCACATCTGAGCACAGCTTACAATAATCCACAGAATGTGAACACACATACTGTATATAAACACACAGAAATCTGCTGCAAAGACATATTGCGGTGTTCTGTCAGAAGCACAAAGTTTGAGACTACAGAGCAGGGCTATACCCCAAACACAAGCCAAACACACACCCATAACACCAGCCTATACCAAACCCACTTACCTTTCTTATTGGGGACAGGAACTGAAAAAGACAAAGTCGAAGTTGTCTCTACATATATCTATTTACCTAGCAATGTAAAATGGGCATGTAAAAAATACAGTTTGATTCCTGTCTTTTAATTTTCTCATATTGCATCAATGAGACTGCGTCCCAAACGGCACCCTATTCACTACATAGTGCACTGTTAAAGGAATAGGGACCCATTTGGGACACAGCCATCGATAACTAGGACAGTAGACTGTTACATAACAAAGAAACAGCCTCACAAACTGATAATTATCTACAGCGCTTAAAGCAATGCTGTATTACAACATCAACCCACGGTCGGCTACACATGAGCTTTATGCTAAATAATCCATGCTGCAAGGCATGAGACAAATTAGAAATTAATTTGATTAAACCATTATTATAGTTTGAACACTGTCTGCATCTGTGACTTCAATTAATTCCGGCAGACGTTGTCTTCTCACACTGTACAATTGATTAGCTTAGAAAATAAGTGTTTTTATGAAAAGGCTTCATAGTGCCACAGATAATAACCATGACTCAGCATAGTGGAGAAGTTAGTGTTCAGAGAGAGAGAGGGGGGAAGAGAGAGAGAGAGAGAGAGAGGAGAGAGAGAGAGAGAGAGAGAGAGAGAGAGAGAGAGAGAGAGAGAGAGAGAGAGAGAGAGAGAGAGAGAGAGAGAGAAGGAAAAGGAGGGCGAGAGAGAAATGAAAAGAGAGAGTGAGAAGGAGAGACAGATTGAAAAGGAGAGAGGGGTGCAATATACTAGAGAGAGAGAAAGACACAGAGAGCGAGAGCGAGAGAGGAGAGATTGAAAAAATAAAGAGAGAGAGAGAAACACTCACCATCTGTCTGGGATTTGCTGAGAAATATGGTGCTGGCTCTGGGATGGTCTGAAGGGTTGTACTCCATGTTCAGATCTGATGAAGAAGGAAACAGAAGCAAACAGCTATCAGCTCCGGGGCCTACTGCTCAAAGTACTCTGCTGTGTACTCTGCTGGTTGTATATCGATTCAGTGTTAGCAAACAATGAACCCAGCCGGGTATAGATCTGTTTTGGATGACTGAACAAGACACATGCTGATGAGACAGAGGCATCGCACACGGAGAGACATTTGTTAAACAGATGAGAAAAAAGGTGATCATAAGCCTTGAATACGAGTATTGAATACTGACTCTCTGGGGATACCAGTACTATAGGATTTGTCCCAAATGGGACCTTATTCCCTATATAATGCACTACTTTTGACCAGAGCCCTATGGGCCCAGATGAAAGCATAAGGTGCCAAATGGGACGCTAATACATTCTGACTGAAAGGTCAATTTCAGAGGAGCATGCAGTTACACATATCAACCACCAAGTGGCCTAACGTTGAGGAGCAGCGGTTTGGCCGGAGACTGAGGCAGACTGGTACGGCAATGAAAACGTCTTATTTGATAAATTGCCTGTTTTTATGTGATGCTTTTACACACTGGGTGTTAACTTGATAACAGGTCCATCAGCATAAATTACGGAATATTGCAGAAGTTACTATGGCACCAGGCAAT